GTCCAGCCGAAACCGAACGCCCACACTGGCTGCTGCCACGGGGGCAGAGGCAACCTTATTGACCACCAAAACCAGGGGTCTTGCTCGCTGAATCTTCAGACATGGTTTTGCCTCCAAGGTTTTCACTGTTCCCTGCAACGTCCAAATTCATGAAAACAGATAGAGACTAAGAAGAATTAGAAATAAAAGAGGAAAAAAAAAAAAAAACCTTGAAAGGAGAAGAGAGGCGCGGGAACCAGGAAGAGGAAGAGGAAACGGGAATGAGAGGAGCAGTGGCCATTTCTGATACACTCAGGCGGATGCCATGATAACCCCACGAACTAACTTCAAATAACGGATAGGATAAGTTTTTCATTTTTTTTTTTTGAGCTTTTCTATTATTATTAAATCTCAATATAAAATATATTTTACGCTTATAAATAATTACCTATATAATAACCTTATTTACAATAATAATTATTTATTATCTACGACAATATATAAAGGATACATCTTTCTTTGTGTCTAGTTTTTGAAAAGTAATTATATTTTTATATTATATTCTTTATATATATATATATTATGATAACGTAATAATCGATATCTCTTTGCTTTGTTTTTATTTTTAACTTTTTTCTCCTCCTTTTCCTTGTAAAAAAAAATAGAATACTTATATTATTTTATTCAACTTTAAAATTTTCGTACATTTTATTATTCTATTAATTAACTATTTAAAATTGTCAGTCGGCTCTTGATAACTAACTAATTGAAATGATAATGCACGAAAATTTGATAATTAATGTTAGGTTACATTTTGTTTTTAATCTATGCTTGTTATATGTATTTATGAATTGTAACTACTTTAATTATTTGTAGTCCAACCACAATTCTTATATCTTGGATTGTGATGCATTATTAGGATCGATCCAACAATGATGGAGATTTAAAGTGAAATTTGATAGAGATTTTTAAATTTATAATAAAATAATTATACAGTAGAAACTCTTTAAATTAATACTTAATAAATTAATAAATTCTCTAAAATAATAAATTTGTCCGGTCCCGATTTGGGTCAATATAAAAAATTGAAAAATTCAATAAAATAATAAGATAATAATTTTTCGGGATATCCTTTTATAATTTTCGGTCCCAAGAAAATCATAAATTAAAAATTCATAGAAATTGAAAAAAATATATTACACTCTAACACATTCATGTAATTTATATATGCCAAACTTGCTTAAGAATACATTGAACATATTTGTTCCTCTTGTTTACATTTAATGTACTTCAAAAGTCATTATTGATTTCTAATGCATATGTACTTCAAAAGTCATTACGTATTGATTTTCAATGCATATGTACTTCAAAAGTTACTAATTTACGTTGAGTCTCAAGGTTCGCTGCAACGTAATTCTAATAAACATAGACTAATTTACCTTTTTATTTGGTATGTATAGTATAATTCAACGATTTGGCTATGACTACAACGAAACCTTCTCCCCTGTCATTAAACCTGTAACGGTCAGACTCATTCTCACTCTTGCGTTGACTCATCAATGGCCTCTTAAACAACTAGATGTCAACAACGCATTTTTAAATGGTACTCTTACCGAAGAGGTGTATATGACACAACCTACGAGTTTTGAATCTTCTAATAAGACTTTAGTTTGCAAACTTCACAAAGCCATTTATGGCCTCAAACAAGCACCTCGTGCTGGGTTTGAGAAGTAAAAATCCACTCTGCCCCAGTTTCACTTTTCAAGCCAGCAAATGTGACCCATCCTTATTTGTTTACTCAGTTGACAATAATATCATCTACGTTCTAGTGTATGTAGATGACATTATTATCACTGGCAACAACGCCACCACCCTCCAGACCCTTGTATCTCGTCTTCACTCTGCATTCTCCCTCAAAGATCTGGGTGATCTTGATTACTTTCTTGGCATTGAAGTTAAAAATCAGTCGGATGGTTCTATCACCCTCACTCAAAGTAAGTACATACGTGATCTCTTAAATCGCACTGACATGGAAGCAGCTAAGCCCATCTCTTCCCCAATGGTTAGTGGCTGCAAATTATCCAAACTTGGTTCAGAAAAAGTTTTTGATCCGTCCCTCTACAGATCAGTTGTTGGGGCGTTACAATATGCCACAATAACTAGACCTGAAATCAGTTTCTCTGTCAACAAAGTATGTCAGTTTATGTCTCAGCCTCTTGAACAGCATTGGATTGCTGTCAAACGAATTCTGCGCTATCTCAAAGGCACTATATCTTGGGGTCTCCATCTGCAACCTGCTACTACTACTTCCTCCTTCTCCATCCACACTTATTGTGATGCCGACTGGGCTTCTGATCCAGATGACAGGCGCTCCACCTCAGGTGCATCCATTTTCCTTGGACCAAATCTTGTGTCTTGGTGGTCCAAAAAGCAAACCGTTGTTGCTCGTTCCAGTACAGAAGCAGAGTATCGAAGCCTTGCCCTTGCTGCTGCTGAAGTTATGTGGATACAGACGTTACTTTCTGAACTTAAGGTCCATCATTCAACCCCGGTAATTTTCTGTGATAATATGAGCACTGTGGCCCTTGCTCACAACCCTGTTCTTCATGCTCGCACTAAACACATGGAATTGGATCTCTTCTTTGTTCGAGAGAAAGTTGCTGCCAAGCGTCTTCAAGTTGTTCATGTTCCTGCCATTGATCAGTGTGCTGATGTCCTGACCAAAGCTCTCTCTCCTTCTCGGTTCTGTGAACTTAGGTCCAAGCTTCAAGTAGTTGAGTCACCTCATCCTACTTGAGCTTGCGGGGGGGTATTGGAGTATAGTTTTACTCCTAAGTATATCTTTATATATCTTTATATATCAATTTTTTGTTAATATAGACCAATATATCATTGGCTCTATATATACCAATATTGGACCTATTTTTCAATTAGCTAATGAAATTACAATTACTATCAAATATTCTCTTCTCTCTCTCGCTGCTTTCTCTCTGTCTCACTCTCCTCATCTTTCTCTCTCACAACTCTATTATTAACCATTCAAGAAACATGGAACAGACACATAATAGGCTTTATCTAAAGGAAATTAATTCAACAAGATTGTTCCCAGACCATAGTCAAATTTGTAGAAACATACAAAAACTAAAACCTAAGAAAAAAAAATTAAAATAGTAATCAAACATAATTTACGTTCTACATGATGCTCAAATGATTTATGCCTTTGAAGTAACATCAACAAGTATTTAATAATAAAATTTCAAAAGTATTTAAAATGTATAGTCATCCCTGCAACTGTATTAAATTGATATAGTACTAATAGTAGAATATTATATTGAAAACAAAAGTAATACCTCCTGATCAAAATGAGAATCTTGATTAGCCCAGTGATAATCCAATCCAAAGCTTATCATGCGCAAAACAACTGCCACAAACATCTATGCTTAAATATAAAGAAACATATATTTATCTATATTGTTATTGTCACATTACATAATGGTATGCAGAATGAGAATACAAAGGCATGCATATATAATTTCATAAAATGGAAAATAAAAATAAAATTTTAAATGTTTATAGATTTCCAAATTTCAATATCTTGGTATGTGTTCTGAATAATAAATCAACATCACCATAACATGACAACAGTTACAAAGCGGGGAATGACTGAGTTAGAATCATCTCAAGAATGCCAGTGATGGATGTGGAACAGTCCAACTAACAAGCATGGAAAAAATAATAAGGCAAAGAAATATAAGAAACACATAAAAGGACTATTCTGACTCTAGATACCATATGAACTCAATTACATTTACATGATGAAAAAAATACCAAAGTTGAAACATATGTGCCACCTAAAGCTGCCCCGGTAATTGTCCAAAAATGCCCACTGTTGCCTGCAATGTAAATACATAATCTTTAGTACAAATAGAATTACTCCCCTACCATACAATGAATCAATACAACAAATCTTATGCATCTTACCCAAATACAGAGAATGAATATCCTTCATAAATCCGATTACAGAGAAGAAACAATATGTTGTAACTCCAGACTACTAGTGGAAAGTACTTCTTCTGTGCAAATATCTGCCAATAAACAGAACAAGTCTTACATGATAACTGCTGGAAAAGTTATAAATATGATAATTAAATCCTACAATATAATGATTAAACAAATGGATTATAGTTATCATTTATCAAGACTTAAACATTAATGAAAAATTGTCAAAGCATCAAAAGTTGTTTGGATCAGTTATCTATTATAATTTGCCAATAAATATCCAGGACCAGAGTTATTAGCGGATGAGCCTAAAGATGACCTTTTATGTTGGAATCCATTATTTTTTTCATATAATTAGGAAGTATAACCCCTTTACACCAGTTCGATCCATTTTAGGAATAAAGTGACACCCAAGAGCTATCCTTCTTTAGAAGGGTGTTGAGAAAGCTTGCTACAAGCTTCTGATGTAATAAATTTAATACACAATTCTTGTTTGGTAAAAGGTATTGATTTAAATGATCCATGGCAACACCATTCTCATTAAAGAGCATTAAGTTTCAGGAAATCTAGAGTCCTAGAATTACAAAATACACAAGTAGTTAGCAAGAAATCAATAGACAAAATAAATTCCTAATGTTTTCCAGTGAAGGGGTATAATTCTATGAATAATTCATGAAATCCAATATAGATGTCGTCTCAGTTTTCATTACATTTCTAGACATGAAACAAAACTTAGAATAAACCAGCCTGGTGGAAACAAGTTATAATGAAACAAAACTGGACTTGTTATGACATGATAATTTTAAGTAAATAATTAAAATCAACAATATTAAGGATACCCAACTAGAAATATTGCATCTAATACTTATTCATTGTTCCATTACACGCACCTTTACTAGAAGAAAATTACCAGTAGCTATTGATAGGATAAATACAATGCTGAAAATGAAACAAACTCAAAGTTAGACTGAAGAAGGTAAAGAATATCAATAGAGAACATCAAATTAAATGGTGCACTCAGCACTCCCTACCATGCTCCATGAAGATATGATAAGTAGGCCAAAGAAAAAAAAAGCCAGAGAATAGACATTCCGCTTGCTCTCAAATTAAAGAAAGCCCTCATCAATTTGGCTAGCAGAGTGAAAACTCCAAAGACAAGAGTAAGAACAGGAATATTTCCCCGAAAATTCCTCCACTGAGCATCTGAAACATCCTTTACACAAAACAGGCCAGCATTTGCATTTGATCAGTAAGCAACAAGACCAACTACTGAAATACTTGCAACAGACAAAATTATCATAATGAAAAAAAAGGCATGATCGTACATTGAGGTGACGAGGTAAAAGCCAACCAGGGCGTAAGCCAAATAGCTGTTTGTAATGATCTGTGAAAATCAAATCCCAAAGCACTCGATGCTCAGCAATTAAGCAGGTGATAAGAGAAAACACAAATACAGAAACCACATCATAGAGTGAAAAAGATCTAAAACGAGATATACCAGAAGAGAGTTGAAGCGAACGATTGATGATGATAACATAGAAAACGATTGCATAAATCACAAGAAACCACAATTCTTTTTGCTTCCAGTGTCCACTCTTACTGCCATTAAAAGATGTAGCCATTTGCAATTTGTCCTCTAATTAGCACCTCAAGACCAGAAATTTAATGTTTCCCTGTTTTGGCAACATATCAATTTGCAGATTACTTCCACTCTTTCACTGTGAAA